TGAAAGCATGTTTACCTCTCCAGTCTTTTTTTTTTCCCATGCATGTGCAAATTGATAGAGATTTTGTTTGTTTGGTGTCTGTTTCATAGACAAAAAGGATTATAGTACAAACCAGTTCTGCTTATGGCTTTGCTATAGTTTTTTTTTCCTGCTCCCAGTACTGAGGCAGAGGCAGGCAAGTCCATGTTATCTTCCTGGGTTGGTGGGTGGATTTTATTTTTGGCCACCCTTTCAGTGATGGTATCGCCAGCCCTTGAATCCTTGGAGGCCTTGGCTTCATGCAAGCGCTTTATCCTTAACTCTCTATCTCCCAGGCCCCAGGCCTTGTGTCCTGCCCTGAGTGGGTATCAAAACCCAGTAGCAGGCTCCCCACGCCCTCCCAGGACCAACTACGGCTCGCTGCTTCATCACGAAGCTCTCTGTTTCTGGAATTTGGAGTTTCCATGTGTTTCTTGCAAAACCATCAGTGCATTTAATGTAACTTCGATATATATTTTTAATTTTATTTTATTATTATTACTTTTAAATTTGCTTATGTGCTCACCATAGAGAGAGAGAAAGGGAAAGTGAGAAAGCAAACCACCAGGGGACCAGCAGTTAGCGTAATGGCTATGTTGCTGGACTCCCATGTAGTTGACTGTGGTTCGAGTCCCTGACCCGGTGGCTTAAACTTATGCTGGGCACATGTGCGTGCGTGCCCAAGATCCTGAGAGGAGAATGGAGGAAAAGAGATTGCAGTGTAGCCATCCCCCCTGGGGAGTGATTTCTGCTTTTTGTCTCTCTGTCTAGCGCCTTAACCACCATGCCACCTGCTGACCCAATGCAATTTTGATTTTTTTTTTTTTTTTTTTGAGAGATTTTTGCTATAGGGTGCATGCATTCGCCAGAGAGACAGAAAGCGAGAAATTGCTCCCTCGAGAGATGGCCATACCGCAATCCCTTCTTCTCCATTATCTTCTTTGGATTTTGGACATGCTTGGACATGCATGCACATGCACCCAGCATGAAATTTAATCTGCTGGGTCTGGGACTCGAACCGCAGTTGACTACATGGGAGTCCAGTGATGTAACCATTATGCCATCTGCAGGTCCCAACTTTGATACATATATATTTTTTAGAGAATTATTTTATTTTACTTTATTTATTTATTATTATTATTTTCCAGTTTGAATCAGAGAGAGACAAAGAAAGAGAGAGAGGGAAAGTGAGAAAGCAAATCACCAGGTCTGGGACTTGAACCATGATCGGCCATGTGGGAGTCCAGCACCCTTAACCACTATGCCACTTGCCAGTTCTACCAACTTTGATATATTTTTAACACGTCTCTAGGTGGTTGTGATGGTAGGGTTGTCTTTTCCCTTGTATTTGTGTGTGTGTGTGTTTTAATCGCTGTCTTAAAAGAACTGTATGCATTTCCTTTTTTGCTTTTCTTTTTGTTTTCCACTTAACTCTTTATCATGGACATCTTCCCATGTGGATTCATGTAGAATTTCCTCATTCTTTAGAACAGCTGCAGAGTGGTCCATTCTGTGGCTGGCCCGTTCTGTGACTGGCCCATAGCTAACATTCTGCCGAGGGACAAGTAGATTGTTCCAGTTTTTGCTATTATTCTATACTATGCTGCTGTGAACCTCCTTGTACCAATGCACTCAGGCCAATATTTCTGTAGGAGAATTCCTAGAAGTGGGATAATTGGACCAAAAGATATGCACATTCTAAATTAGGAGGAAGACTGCCAAACTGACCTCAGCCAAGGTTGCACCACTTTGCACCCCCATCAGCAGTGTACAAGTGCCTATTCCCAACTTCCTTGCCAACGGTGGATGCTATAATAAGCTTTACGATTTTGCCAGTCTCATCGGCAAATGGTGTCTTGGTTAAATTTGCATTTCTTTAATACTAATGGAAGTAGGGTGTCTTATATGTTTATTGGCCACTTATAGTTCTGTTAATTGCTTGTTCATATTCTTCGTCCATTATTCTACTGGGTTCGTTGGTCTTTTTCACATTGATTTTTAGAATCTCTGTTAATGGATATTAACCCTTCGCTGTTGAATGTGTTTGCAAATATTTTCTCCCTGTCTGTCATTAATGTTGTCTTTTTCCATATAAAGTTTAAAAAATGTCGTGTGATCAATATGTCAATCTTTTCCTCTATTGGCTGCTCAGATTGGTGTTATAGGTAGACAGTTCCTCAACCCCTTAAGATTACAAAATTATTCGCTTATATCTTTTTAGATACTTCCTAATTTTATTTTTTACATTAGTGCTCTCAAATTCAGCCAGAATTTATTTTTTTCATGCACAGTATGAAGTAGGGCTTTCGGTTTAAATTTTTCTCAAAATGGCCAATCAAGGGTCCCCCACGCTCCACTGATTTGAAGGACTACCTGGATCACATTATGGACCCCCAAATATAGTGGGTGGGATTCTGAAACGAGAGCCAGCCTGAATGGGAATAACTCCTGGTGGCTGAGGACCTACTGGCTGCTTGGACACTGTTGTAAGCATTTCACGGGCATGATCTTATTTCATCCTCACAAAAAATCCTGCAAAGTGTCGGCATGCCCAGTTTTTGAAATAGAAACTGAGGTACAGGGAGATGAACCAGGTCTCATGGCCAGAAGTGGAGCTGGAATTTGAACTGAGATCTGTGTCCGGAACACATGCGCATTCTTTCTCTTAAATATATTAATAGTTGAAAAGAGGATTCCGCAGGAAGTCCCGGGTTACACAGAAAGCCCCATGTTATAGGGCTCTTTTTATGGGATTATGCAAGAGTGAGATGGGAGCAGCTTTCCCCAGTTTCACTTGGTTCCAGAACTCATTCCAGAGCTCTGCATTCTCAGGGCTGGGGCTGGCATTGTGCAAGCGAACTTTTCTTTTTTTTTATAGGTAGAGAGTTTTGCTGTAGGGTGTGTGCCCTCACTGGAGATAGAGAAAGTGAGAAATCGCCCCAGCGATTTGGCCATGCCACAATCCTTTCTTCATTCTCATTTCGGTATTTTGGGCATGCACACACATGCATCTGGTGTGAGTTTTAAGCCTCTGGGTCCAGGACTGGAACCACAATCAGCCATGTGGGAGTCCAGCATCTTACCCACGATGCCACCTGCTGGCCCCATGCAAGCGTACTTTGGGACCTCATGGCTGGGAATTCCCGGAAGACCTGCACAGCGCTTTCAGTGTGCATACCAACCGTGCAGCAGGCAGGGCCGGAATACGATTCCCATTGTCTAAAAAGGAACCCGGGGAAAAGGACTAGCTCAAGACCGTACACCTAGTTAGTGCACCTCCTCACAGCCCACATCAGGGTTCGGTGAGGACATCCTACTTGGTAGGGACAGGGTAGGGTGGTGGGGGCGGTCCTGGGGAGAACCAGAGCTGAGGCGCCCCTTCCCCACCCGCGCAGGGATGGCTGCATCAGCAGGGAGGAGATGGTCTCCTACTTCCTGCGCTCCAGCTCTGTGCTGGGTGGCCGCATGGGCTTCGTACACAACTTCCAGGAGAGCAACTCCTTGCGCCCAGTCACCTGCCGCCACTGCAAAGCCCTGGTGAGCCCCCCTTTGCTGGCCATCCGAGGTACCTGAGATACCCAGCTACCTGCTTCCATGCTGTCCACACCCCGCCCCAGCGCTGTCCACACCCCGCCCCTTCCGGGGCCTTCTCAACCAAGGGAAACTGCATTAATTCTACCTGCCTCTCTTGCTGCTCTGCCCCCGGCCCTGAGGTGGTCTCTAAGGCCCCAGTTCCTGCCCTTGAGTAGGAAGAGGTAGTCATCACCTCGAAGTCCCGCCCCAGCACAGCTGCCGCCTCCTCTATTGCAGATCCTGGGCATCTACAAGCAGGGCCTCAAGTGCCGAGGTGAGCTGGGATGAATGGCAGGACTGGGGCCCAGAGTTATTTTGGTGGGGCAGTTGCTGCAGGCGGCAGTACCATGGAGCCAGAGTCGTGCTGATTGATGCGAAGGGTGTGGGCTTTCAGAGGATGTTTATTTTGGTGAGGCAGCTCTCCAGGCACAGAGGACTTGGGGGAGGGCAGAGATTGGCAGTTAGGATGCAGAGAGCACTTTGGAGGGAGACTCTTATTTCAGTGGGGTAGCTATTCAGGAGCAAGCGAGCCTCCCAGGCCTGCAGGATGGGAGGGAGGGTGTTCTGACCCTTGGCCTTGCTGGGCTCCCATCTGCCCTCCCCCAGCCTGCGGTGTCAACTGCCACAAGCAGTGTAAGGACCGCCTGTCCGTGGAGTGCCGGCGCCGGGCCCAGAGTGTGAGTCTGGAGGGGTCTGCGTCCTCACCCTCTCCCACACACACCCACCACCGCGCCTTCAGCTTCTCCCTGCCGCGCCCAGGGAGGCGAGGCTCCCGGCCCCCAGGTAAGAGGGACTCTCATTCTGCATGGGCCCACGGTGGAGGTGAAGGGAGGGTGACTGTGGCAAAGTATTAACTTGTCCAGGCTGGAAGCCATTCCAGAATTTTTAATTCTCTTATCTTGGTCTGTGAATAAAGAACAGTTGAACAGGTGGCCAGAAGGTGGCCAGGGACCCTCTCTACCCTCTGAGGCTAAAGAAGAGAGAGACCCTCACCTATGAGGAAATGCATGCCAGACAGACAGAGAGACAGAAAGCAAGAAATCACCCCCCAGGGGGGTTGGCCACGCCGCAATCCCCTCCCCTCCATTCTCCCCTCGGGATCTTGGGCATGCACACACACGCGCCCGGCGTGAGTTTTAAGCCACCCGGTCTGGGACGCGAACTGTGGTCGACTACTTGGAAGTCCAGCGACATAGCCATTACACCAACTGCCGGTCCCAGCACTCTTACTTTGTTGGAGGGGTGGACAATGGATTGGAGAAAGTGGTGTGCAAGCCATTGGCCTGAATCTCCCCTTCTGGCTACTCTGGAAGCTGTTCTGAGAAAAGTCCCTTGCCCTGATAATCTCCCCGCGGCTCTCCTGGGGTGTCTGGTGGTTTTAGGTCAGTTTACGGGATGCCGATTTGCCCGACGATGATGATTTTGCTGAGAATAGTCTGAGCAACTATGTTACACTGGGGTCTAAGGCAGTTGACCACAACTGTGCGGGTTGGCATAAATCCTCAAACACAGGCAGGCACAGGGTATAAGTCCTCAAAAATAGAAAAGATAAAACCATTTGCATTGAGCCTTCCAGAAGTGCTGGGGTCTGAAATGTGAAATACACACACAATTGACATTTAAGAAAACTGCCCTGGCAAGTCTGTGGCTGCAAAAAAAGCTGTGGCGAAATGAAAACTTAGAAAAAGAGCCTCAAAAATGGGGCCATTTGGTCATTCAGGGAATTGATTTTCAGCGGATGGGTCCGTTTCCGGGATGGGGCACGGGCCTGCCGTGAGTGGGGGTGGGGGGCTGCTGAGGTTACAGGGACCCAGCCCTGGGAGTGGGTCCTGTGACCATACCCCCTCCCCACAGACATCCGAGAGGAGGAGGTGCAGACGGTGGAGGACGGAGTGTTTGACATCCACTTGTAACAGCGGTTGGTGAGTTCACCCTGTCCCAGCCACCCCAGTGAGGAAGGGTGCGGGGAGGAGGGCTAAGAAGATGGTGCTCTATCCAAACTGCCCAGGCCAGGTGCACGCCTACCTTGTTGCAGGGATGTCTTCCTCACCATCTCTGTTTTTTTCTCTTCCCAGCTGTGACTCGATCAAGGACTCATTCCTGCCTTGGAGAAAAGACTTGGACCAGAGCAGGGCGCCTGGGGGTGCTGGGGCAGGAGACTGGGGTTGGGGTGGGATGTGAGGGTGTAGCATGTGACTAAGGACAGGGCCGGGGCTGGTGTCCCTAAGGCTGTACAGACTCTTGTGAATATTTGTATTTTCCAGATGGAATAAAAAGGCCCGTGTAATTAACCTGGACCTTCAGAGCTTAGAGTCCTGGGGGCGGGGGGCGGGGGGCTGTACTTGAAGGGACGATAATCTTGGCACCTAGAACTTTGTAGCCAGGAAACTAGGGAGGTCTGGACTCTGAATCTTGAAGGCTAAAACCTTAGAACCAGAAAACTTTGAAATATAAGAATCTTGGGGAATTGTAGGATCTTGAGAAGCTCAGAATCTTGGGGCTCTGAAACTCGAAACTAGCATATCTTTATGCTCAGAATGATTGGGCCTACTGGTCATGGATAATGCTAGCCTTCAGCCTGTAGTCAGGATTCCTTTGCTAGACAGGTGGCCTTTCGGTCCCTGATCCCTGCTTGAATACTCCCTGTGATGGGGCACTCTCTACAGGAATCCAGGGAGGGAGAGAGGCAGCCATGTGCTGGCTGTGGGAGGAGGGAGGCGGGCAGTCATAGGTCCCCGCTGGGCTTGTGACTCAGGGTGGGGGCTGTGCTCCTTGGCCATGCGGCCAGCAGCCTGGTGCTTCTGCCAGCCGGAAGGACAGTGACTTCCAGAGGAAATGCATATTGATCCTGCTCTCAGCCTCCGGCGGCCTCCCAACCCAGCTCTTCCCTCCTGAGCTGCAGAACGGAGGTTTTGGGGTCACCGCTACCTGAGGAAGGCCAAGTCCACTTCTAAGGCTGATCTGGGTAGGGAGGGTAGGGAGTTTCCTAAAGGTTTTGAAGCTAGGCCAGTCTGCCTCTGGGGTCAGGAGACTCTAGACAGCAGCCCTGAGAATGGGGGCTATCCTCCCAGCCCTCCAAGCTGGGAGCATCCTACAGCAGCTGTAGGATTGTCCTGGGAATGAAGACCCAAGTACCCCCATCTCCTGACAATGGCCTCAGCTCCTCTAACCCCTACTCAGGGTCTGCCGACCTCATGTCCATCTCTACCTTTGAGACCCCAGCCCCTCTGGCCTATTCCTCATTTTAGGTCACCCCTTCTTTCCCTCCCCATTACATCTCAGCTACCTGTTGGGTCCCCCAGTCCTGCCCCCATTGAGTCCCCCCCACCCACACTCTGTCCCTCCGTCTGTCCTCAGCCCCCTCCTGCCCTTCCCCCTCTGAGGCTGTAATATCCGTTTCACGATTTGGGGGCTGAGTTGCTATAACAACAGACGGCGATTGTGTTGTGAAGAGCAGCCTGCTCCTGCGCGCCCGCCTCCTGCGCTGCCTCCATCCCTGCAGCCTGGTCTGCTCCTCATGCCCCCCCCCAAGCCTGGCCTCTTCCTAGTGTGTGTGGACACAGTGTGGGCCCAGGCCTGCCCCACCTGGTGTATGATGTGTGCCTGTCTTTTGGTGGTTGCATGTGTGTCTGAATGTGGTGTCTGAGCTGCATATTGTGGGTGTGTGTGTGCATGTGTGTGCATGGACGTGCACTGCGTGCTTGCAGCTTCCCCTGCGTGTCCCCACTGGTCTGTGTGCACGGGAGAAGGGTGCGTGCCAGAATGTCACTCGACTGTCTACTCTGGGTGGGTGCCTTGAAGTGGTGGGTCCCGCCTGCATTGTGGTCTGAACCTTAGCCCTTGTAGGAGACACTCCCGTAGAGGGGAGGGACTGGAAGGTGCAGCAACTGCTAGGTGACCTTTTCTGCCCTTGATGGGCAACTGGGGGTGGGGACAGGAGACTAGTGCTCCCTCTTTACCTCCCACCTTGCCCAGGCTCATCTGTAAGGATCTGAGAGCCGGTCTCTGGGAGTCGCTGCATCTGTCTGTCCAGGTGCCTGGGTGGACAAAGGAGTGTGTGCGTGAGAGACAGTGTGGAGGCTGCGGGAAGAGGGGCAGTGGGGGATGGACAGGGCAGTGGGCTGTGGGGTCCGAGAGGTGATTTCATATCCCTGGGCCCTGACTCAGCACTTCCCATTCTCTGGCTCCTCCAGTGGCCTTGGTGGGGATGACCCGAGGGTTTCTGCAAGGTCAGCATGGACCCCAAGTCTGGGACCTGGCTCAGGGATAGCCATTTCCCACAACCCCTAGGAAATACCCCCAGCAGTCTGGGCGCCCCTCTCACCCCCTCACAGGCTGGTAAGGCAGTTCTCTGCCAAGGATGGCCTTGTTTGTCCACTCAGTAACTACTCTGCCAAGTACCTGGGAGAGGAGGTCTGATGGCCGTGGGCAGGTCCCCTGTGTGCCCCCGTTCCCCTGGGCGTGTGATTGTCTCTGAGTGTGTAGGTACCTGTGTGGATGTGTGCGTGTGTCCTCAGGCAAGCGTATTTCCTATGGGTGTCTTTCCATGGTGGGCATTTCTGCAGGTGTCCCTTTGGAAATGCCTTGTGTACACAGATAGGAGTGCCTGGCTGTTGTGCCCCGTGTGCACATGCATACATTTACGGTTCAGTGTGTGTGTTTTCGCATGTCGCCTCTGGCTAAGGAAGTACCAACTAATGCCAGTGGTGTAGATCACAGTCCTCAACAGAAATTAGGGTCTGGAGTGAGCTGGCAGAAGGATCTGGTACACCCCACCCAGCCTCATTTGCTAGCCCAGTGTCCAACTTTCTGGCACACACACTAGGTGCCAGGTCCACCTTTTAGTGATTGAGATTGGGGTACTCTCCACACACACTTGTACAAATATACAGTGATGCAGACGCCCTCACAGGGGAGACCTGCACCCCCTCCCCCCATTGAGCCCCCCCCACCCCCACTCTGTCCCTCCGTCTGTCCTCAGCCCCCTCCTGCCCTTCCCCCTCTGAGGCTGTAATATCCGTTTCACGATTTGGGGGCTGAGTTGCTATAACAACAGACGGCGATTGTGTTGTGAAGAGCAGCCTGCTTCTGCGCGCCCGCCTCCTGCGCTGCCTCCATCCCTGCAGCCTGGTCTGCTCCTCATGCCCCCCCCCAAGCCTGGCCTCTTCCTAGTGTGTGTGGACACAGTGTGGGCCCAGGCCTGCCCCACCTGGTGTATGATGTGTGCCTGTCTTTTGGTGGTTGCATGTGTGTCTGAATGTGGTGTCTGAGCTGCATATTGTGGGTGTGTGTGTGCATGTGTGTGCATGGACGTGCACTGCGTGCTTGCAGCTTCCCCTGCGTGTCCCCACTGGTCTGTGTGCACGGGAGAAGGGTGCGTGCCAGAATGTCACTCGACTGTCTACTCTGGGTGGGTGCCTTGAAGTGGTGGGTCCCGCCTGCATTGTGGTCTGAACCTTAGCCCTTGTAGGAGACACTCCCGTAGAGGGGAGGGACTGGAAGGTGCAGCAACTGCTAGGTGACCTTTTCTGCCCTTGATGGGCAACTGGGGGTGGGGACAGGAGACTAGTGCTCCCTCTTTACCTCCCACCTTGCCCAGGCTCATCTGTAAGGATCTGAGAGCCGGTCTCTGGGAGTCGCTGCATCTGTCTGTCCAGGTGCCTGGGTGGACAAAGGAGTGTGTGCGTGAGAGACAGTGTGGAGGCTGCGGGAAGAGGGGCAGTGGGGGATGGACAGGGCAGTGGGCTGTGGGGTCCGAGAGGTGATTTCATATCCCTGGGCCCTGACTCAGCACTTCCCATTCTCTGGCTCCTCCAGTGGCCTTGGTGGGGATGACCCGAGGGTTTCTGCAAGGTCAGCATGGACCCCAAGTCTGGGACCTGGCTCAGGGATAGCCATTTCCCACAACCCCTAGGAAATACCCCCAGCAGTCTGGGCGCCCCTCTCACCCCCTCACAGGCTGGTAAGGCAGTTCTCTGCCAAGGATGGCCTTGTTTGTCCACTCAGTAACTACTCTGCCAAGTACCTGGGAGAGGAGGTCTGATGGCCGTGGGCAGGTCCCCTGTGTGCCCCCGTTCCCCTGGGCGTGTGATTGTCTCTGAGTGTGTAGGTACCTGTGTGGATGTGTGCGTGTGTCCTCAGGCAAGCGTATTTCCTATGGGTGTCTTTCCATGGTGGGCATTTCTGCAGGTGTCCCTTTGGAAATGCCTTGTGTACACAGATAGGAGTGCCTGGCTGTTGTGCCCCGTGTGCACATGCATACATTTACGGTTCAGTGTGTGTGTTTTCGCATGTCGCCTCTGGCTAAGGAAGTACCAACTAATGCCAGTGGTGTAGATCACAGTCCTCAACAGAAATTAGGGTCTGGAGTGAGCTGGCAGAAGGATCTGGTACACCCCACCCAGCCTCATTTGCTAGCCCAGTGTCCAACTTTCTGGCACACACACTAGGTGCCAGGTCCACCTTTTAGTGATTGAGATTGGGGTACTCTCCACACACACTTGTACAAATATACAGTGATGCAGACGCCCTCACAGGGGAGACCTGCACCCCAGCACCATGTTCACTCTGAAACTCATGGTGGGGGGAGCAAGGGAGAACAGAGAAGGGGGCTGTTGCCAGTTTCCCTCAGTGTGCAGTCACAACCCCGCCTCCCGACTACTCCTTCCGCGGCGCGGGATTCCAGGTAGGACCAGGACTGGGTGTCTGGCATCCAACTTTGGGGTTCCCATGAGGCAGGGCTGGGAAACCCCAAGCCCCTAGGTCTACCCTGCCCCCATCTCTGCCTCTGCTCTCACCCTCGACTTGGTTCTTCTCTCTCCTCAGGCAAAGCCATTCCCTCCTCAGTTCTAGGGCTCCAAGCCAAAGGACCTTGGGGCGGTGGGAAGCGGGGGCCAGGAAAATGATCCCAGCAGTCGTGGACGGGGTTCCCCTTCCCCAGGCTCCTCGCAGCCCTGGCCCGACCCTGGGCGTAGCCAGCAGAGGGCGCTGTGGCCCGAGCCTCGTGCGGATCATGCTCCCTCGGTGCCCCAAGTCGGGGTCCACAGCCTATCCTCTGGTTTGTCACAGTCCTTGTAGCTGCCACGCAGACCCGCTGGCCAAGGGGAGCAGGATCCGAGGGGCAGACCCAATGGCCAAGGGACTAGGGCGCCCGTCTTCTTAGAAAAGACAGTGAAGCTAGGCAGGAGTGTCTGCCTGCTTGGGGGCCGGGCACCTGGGCTAAGCATCTCGAGAGGCGGGGTGGAGAGCGCGGATGCCCTGGGGCAGGGACGCCTGGGT